GGGTGTAGATGCTGCGGAAGTCTACTATTCCTATCAATTACCTAGTGTACGAGTCATTGATCGTGTGCCCAAACTGCTGTGCGGTCCATGGCGAATGTCGTAGAAATCAAGGTTTGAACTGTCATGAATGCACACTGGAGAGACAGATCAAGTCCAAACTAGCCAGCAGTGGAGAAAATATTTAGAAGTTTCGGAGTGACAGACGAGAGCTCGCCTTTGTTGTCGTCTCTCTCTCGTCACCTAAAAGGCCAAAATGCGGAAGAAGCCCAAACATGTCACACCCAATGCCAGATGTGGATCAACCATGATTTGAATCTGCAAATTTTGATCATTTAGTGTAACACTAACATTGACCCACGGATGCGTTATTTTTGTTGGTTGCGATTGGGAAGATTGTGGTAGTGTGGGGCTCACCGATCTTGTTAATACCGATGTATCTCCCGCAATGCCACTATAGAACCCTCGCAGGCAGTCGCATAGCGAACCGTTGTATATTTCGATAAAGTCCATCTTGTTGATATGTTCGAAAGACAGTGGTCATTTCTGGCTTATTAGCTATCATCAGTCAACCATACTCACCCCCAGGAGTTTCAGCACCTGAGGCGCGAACCCACGACCTGTTGGTTAAAAGTCCAACGCCCTAACCACCGTGCCGCGGGCTCCTTGCCCTGCCAGTTTCGATCAGGAATATTATAAATGGTGATTGGGCACTCACTGAGATAGATACGGGAGCCACTTGTCCTGTTGGGCATCGGGGCTCTCTCGCAAACCCCGCCAGCAACCGAACAACGCCTAAATATACGAGCAGACTGATATTAACAACAAAGATAAAGGAGGTTTGGCAGATTTGCTTAATTTGCGTTGACCCGATTGTGAAAAAAACTCGAGGCGTTCGGCGGGATTTGAATCCGTGTATCAGAGAAGGCCTTCACCGGCGGGCAACGGTCTAACCGCTAAGCTAGTTTTTGGGGGTGTTTGTAGCTTAGCGGTTAGAGCGTTGGCTTCCGGCAAAGGCCTTCTCTAAT